ACACTACACCCTTGAAAATTTTCCATCTCCTAAAGCTTTAGCTTGAGATGTCAACAGACATGGAATGCCACGGTTGGACTCTTTCAACCAACTAAGACGTTGATCTGCTTTGCCGTCCTCTCTTAACACACCCTTCTCATCCCTGTCACAGACTCTGGTATTAGATTATCAGCAATATTTTTTCACGGTACAAAGGATCTGTGAAGTTTGGTTATAGTGTAATACTCAAAAAGAGAAAGGACAGTAAGTATGTCCAAAAGAATAATCTGATAACAGAAGAACACGTCTGGATACAGAGCACAGTCAACTCTAGTGACAGATACCCTGAACAGACAGAACCAATGTCCATGCTACAGGTCTGGAGCACCACCCTCGGGCTATAGGTCTGGAGCACCACCCTCCACACTACAGGCATGGAGCACCACCTCCAGGCTACAGGTCTAGGTCATCATTCTCCAGGCTACAGGTCTAGGTCATCATTCTCCAGGCTACAGGTCTAGGTCATCATTCTCCAGGCTACAGGTCTAGGTCATCATTCTCCAGGCTACAGGTCTAGAGTACTACCCTCCACTCTACAGGTCTGGACCATCACCCTCCAGGATACATGTATGTAGCACCACCTCCACATTACAGGTCTGGAGCACCATTCTCCAGGCTACAGTCTGGAGCACCACCCTCCTTATTTCCTTAAGGAGCTGCAGAGATCCTCAAACAGCCTTAGTCTAACACAGACATTTTCATAACCACTCTCGTCAACAAGACACTTTCTACCCCTTTCCATTCCTCACCAGTCTGATTCGATGATTATCTGATCTTTTTATTGTTTCTGAAACCTCTAAAATAATCCATGCAGACTGAAAGATGTTCAGTTCAAATACTTCACACTGACATTTCTATTAAAGTCAAAATCTCTCTTCACTCCCTACCAATGCGATACCTGGAGGAAACTCCTATTAATATTCACCTGTATTCTCCCTTATTCCCTACATTCACAATTAGGAGTAGGTGTTTACTTTATTTACATTGCATAAACACAAACACACACATGGAGAGAGAGAGACAGAGAGAGAGAGAGAGAGAGAGAGAGAGACTAATTTTGCAAGAAATTCCAAAACTAAAACGCTGAGTCAAAGAGCATATGCTTTGTAAATTTTTATAGCAACTACGACAAAGCTTTATGTAAAATGTTCCCATTTTTTTTTCACAAAGAGAATGTACTATTTTATATAACCAAAAGCTAATGTAAAGCCTTTTATAAAGTACAAGCTATACATTCACCAGGAGAGTATCATGTTTCTATGCTCATTTCTTATAAATAAGAACTGCTGAAGGAAGGAAGAATGTGAGCCCAGAGGATAATGCATTTGCCTCTTCCAAAGATAAAACAGGCATGGCTTCCATTCTTGACCTCAACTCTGATATTTTCACTTCTAACAGATATATCTTGTACAGACTTATAAACGAAGTATCCAATTTCCTTCCACAAATAGTAAAAATGTTTATATATTCTATGAAAATATGCAGAATGTACATTTTTAAAGTAGTGAGTATAGTATGTCTCACCCCAACTTGAGACTGAACCAAAGTATGACAACACATGCATGGAGGATTCTCCATGTGCCTGCATGAGCTGTCAAAGGACCACAACCTGTATATAATGCACACAGTTCTAGCACTCTCCAAGACACCTTATTTCCTATGCCAAAAAAAAAAAGATATAACACAAATGCCCTGGCTTCTTAGACCAGCCCTGAAAATAGTTCATACCTTTCATAAATGTTATACAAATCTCAATCTCAATCTCTCTTAATATCTCTCTCTCTCTCTCTGTGTGTGTGTGTGTGTGTGTCTGTGTGTGTGTGTGTGTGTGTGTGTGTGTGTGTGTATTTGAGAGAGGGGGGAAGAGAAGAGAGGGAGAGGTAGAGAGTTGTGCTCATGTATGGGATGTGCACATAAATGTACGCTTGTGCATATGAAGGCCAGGGGGACAAATCTATGGTATTTCTAAGAGCCATTCTCCTTGTGATTTTCTGTTTGTTTTGTTGGTTAATTTTTACAGACATATTCCCACAACCCTGGTACTCCTGGAGTAGGTTAGTATGAATGGCCAAAGAGACCCAGGGATCCACCTCTCTTTGCCCTCCCAAAGCTGGATTACAAATGTGTAATTGGATTCAGGTCCTCATATTTGTGCAACAAGCACTTTACTGACTGGACCAATTCCCAAGCTTCACAATTACTTTTCATTTAAAAAAATTTTTTTTTTACATTTTCTGGATTTTTTTTTTTAAATTGGGGTTAACCAAAAAAAATTCACATTGAGTAATCTAAATCTGCTTCATTTGCTTTATTGTGTTTAGCAACATTTAGCAATACAATATAAAAGAAAGTAGATGTGATTTATTAAATACACAAAACAAAAATGTTATCAAGTTAACAAAATCCTTTTCGAGAGGGACCAGGAATGAACAGTGCAGAACAGAGCCGTTCTTCGGCGAATGAGGACTCTTAAGCATGACTAAGAGTCTAGTGAATCTTGGGAGTTTGACAGCTTTACCTCTACTGCTGGAATAGAGAAGAGTACCCTGAAGCTGAGAACAGCCTGGGTTCTGATCTCACCACAACCCTCTTTGCAGGGGATAAGATGCCTGCCTTTGGGTCTGAGGGCACACTAGGCAAGGATATGGTGAACATATGTACATGCAGGTAAAACACACAGACACATAAAATAGAAATAAATCTCCTTTAAACTATAAAATAGAAATAAATCTCCTTTAAAAATAGTTTAAAAACAAATGAACAGCAACAAAACCACCAGGCAATTTTAATATACATAAAGGTTTCAGAACTTGCCAGACTATACATACTAGAAGAATTCCACTTTCTGCCCCTTTAAGTCACTCAGGGAGACATAATTTGTCTGCTTACAGTTACCATCCCTAAGGCCTTCAAATTTACTCCTTCTAATCTACTGAAGGCTGAAAATAACTGCTAATCAAACTTGCTAAAATTGGATATAAAAATGAAACCCATATATGCTGAATGGGATTTGAGTTCATCTGAATGCAGTTTGGTATATTAGTTCCTGAAGGGTACTCTGACTAACAGTTTAGCATTGCTTATAAAGGCATTCGCTTTAAATGCCTGTAAAATAACTCAAATACCTCACGCTTAGGTACTTATCCATGGAAAACGTGAAAATAAATGTACGCATTGAGACACGAACATCAATATTCATAACAGCATCGTTCATGATTATCAAAACCTGGCAAGAGTCCGAACATCACTTCAAGAAACACAGTGTGAGGCATGCACACAGTGGAATACCATTCATCGACGAACACTGCAAACTAGGAACACAACAAGTGAAAGAAGCTGACGGAAAAGCCACACACCACCTGATTTCATGTACGCGGCATTCTGGAAAATGCAAAATAATTAGGCCAGAAACTTATCAATGACTGGTAAAACTTAGGATGGGGAGAGGAAACACACTACAAAGGAAACTTTCCAAACTACACTCAAACAAATTTTATTATGGGCAAGTTATCCTTCAATAAACCTGCCACTAAAAGAAGGAGGTTTCGGTAATGTATTGCCAAGTTTTACATGATTCTCCAAAACATTACAATGTCTTGGCTACAGAGTCTCAGAGACAAAAGGAAAAGTCAATGGTTACACTGCACGTGTCTGGAGACGTGAGCACACCTCCTGAGCTGAATCACTTCACCTTTTATAGCTCTTCCAGAATGCTACTTGATTAAGAAATACAAACAGTGCACATAAAAACGGTACGAAGGCACACTTACACACATACAGATAAACACAGAGCGCCACGCAAACATATGGCCTCCTGCGCATTTCCTCTAGTTTACTTTAGCTGGGTGGGTTAGTGACTGTATTCTTCCGAAACGTATGATGAGTTTCTGAACTACTTCTCTTCCCAAAGAATAGATACTTTAGTGGTGTTTTTAGTTTTTTTTAAGTGCGCCTTGGAAGCTGGAGAGATATCTCATCAGGTACAAGAATGTACAGCTCCTGAAGAGGACCCAAGTTTGCTCCCACCATCTATGGTAGATTGCTCACAACCACCTTCAACTCCAACTCCAGGGGATTCAATGCACTCTCCTGGCCTCTGAGAGCCACTCCCAAGTACAAACCCCCACAGAGACACAAACATATACACAAAATAAAAAACAAAATCTTTATTGTGCATTCAATGAATGAGATATGATACATCTACTTAAGAGCAGCACATTCCCCCATTATCCTTTTATATCGTTCTCCAGTTCCTGACCACTCAGAGATCACTGAGTATGAAACTGCTTTCTCCAAAGACAATAACCTCTAAGTCAAAGCAAGAAACTACAAGGACTCAAAGAGCAGCCACTCACATTAATATAGTTCTGAAAACACTAAAGAGCTATAAGGCTATCTTTAATTATTCCCCATCAAAGCCACACAAACAACTATGTGAGCATAAACACAGGCATGGGGAAGGGGACAAGTAAAAGATGCCAAAGTACTGCATACTTTTAAGTTGGAATTCATAGTATGATACAAATAGAGATGGGTCATCTGTGCAGCAAATTACAACTATGTGCAAATCATTCTCCTTCAGCCACTATATCTATGAAAATACATAACAAGAATGTACTAAGGATTACTTCAGCAGTTTTTGGAGATAATTTTTATTAGAATTATCTCTCAAATTTGAGCAACTATTTCTATCATATATTTCTCAAATACTATTCCCTAAGAACTCCTACATATTCTAGGAACTTCAGAAAAACATATGAAAGCACTAAACATTTCAAATAATTTTAGCAGACTGCAATCATAATCTCAATTCCAACCATTAGGATCTTATGACTGTGGCACACACAACTGTAACAATACACGGACATCATTTTCACATGTTCATCTATGTAATCCTGAACACACTATGACGTTTTGTTCATGTAACAGTCAACAAACAGAAACAACAAAATAAAACTTACCAGACTAAATCCCAGATGATGTCACTGTGCAATTTCCAAGGAGTCCCAAGGGAGCACAGGCATAATAATTTTTCTGTTCTACTCCAGATACTAAACATGAGACACAAAAATAAGCCTGTGATTTAATGAGTAACGCAATTTATAAAGCAATTATACTAATTCTAACTGCAAAACAGAATGAAAGTCACAGGAGGTACTAATGCTGGGTACGGGTTATAGGGGACACAGTAACTAAGGAATTCAATTAAAAGCTTGTTTTGAGTTAGTTTGGCTAAACGAATCTTCAAAACATCTTATTGCACTTGCTCTCTGCGTTGTGTTGTGTACACTCTACCTAGAAACTAAGAATATTTAACCAGGATAAATAAAAAAAACACATGAAAAATTGAAGGCCTAAATGATAGTTTTACCATGCATTCTATTCCTATTGGTGTGTTCAAAAGATTGTATGGGGGAGGGGGGAGACTGGGGGTGGGGATGGGGCAGAAAGCAATGTGAGGCAGACACAAAAACCTGACCTTGCACGAACAGCAGTCTCTAAAATGAGGCCAGTTGGGGCTGGAGAGATGGCTCAGAGGTTAAGAACACTGGCTGTTCTTCCAGAGGTCTTGAGTTCAATTCCCAGCAACCACATGGTGGCTCACAACCATCTATAATGAGATCTGGTGCCCTCTTCTGGCCTGCAGGCAGGCATACATGCAGACAGAACACTGTATACATAATAAATAAATCTTAAAAAAAAAATAATTAAAAAAAAAAAAAAAAAAAGCCGGGCGGTGGTGGCGCACGCCTTTAATCCCAGCACTCGGGAGGCAGAGCCAGGCGGATCTCTGTGAGTTCGAGGCCAACCTGGACTACCAAGTGAGTTCCAGGAAAGGCGCAAAGCTACACAGAGAAACCCTGTCTCGAAAAAACCAAAAAAAAAAAAAAAATGAGGCCAGTCATACCATTGTGCCTCTCTAACACAGGTGATGTAGATCGAGGGAACTCAGGTAGATGAGTGTGTTTTGCATGCTGCAAGTCCTTTACAGATGTGTGACCTTATTATTATGCAATTAATTATGGTGACTACTCATTTGAATTCTAAAATAGCAACAATAAAAATATCCTTTGTTAGACTGCTTGAGGCAAATGACTGGAAGGCTCTTGAAAGAGGTGTGTGTGTGTGTGTGTGTGTGTGTGTGTGTGTGTGTGTGTACATGTGCACATATACACATATGGAAGCCAGAAGTCAACATCAAGGGCTGTCTTCTTCTTCTTCTTCTATTCACCTTATTTATTTGGGTACTGGGGAGTGAACCTGGGACCTTATACCTCATAGGCAAGAACTCTGCCACTGAGCCATACCCCTAAGTCCTGACATTTTTGTTGAGATGGAGTCTCTAACTAAATTGACAGATCATCAATTTAGCTTGGCTACTGGCCAAGGAGTCACTGGGATTCTCCTGCCTCTGCCAAGAACTGGGGTTTTAAAAGTGCACTGCTATGTCTAGCTTTTATGTAGATGCTAGGGAACACACTCAGGTTGTCATTCTTCAGCAATAGGCATTTTACCCATTGAAGCACCTCCTCAACTCAGAAGAGACTTTTAATAAGACAGACCAAGCAACCTACTCAAGGTCTCTAACGTCTCTTCAATGTCATCTCCCTCTTACCATGGGAATTAAAAGACTCTATCTCTTGTTTCCCCGGTTAATTGGATTAATTTGTTAAGATACAAAACAAAACAAAACAAAGACCACCCCCTCTCAAAGTCCTTCTCAACCTGTACAGATTTCATAGGTTTTTAATGTTGTACTCAACATAAGGTGGGCAGGTGCTCCTAAGAGTGGAGAGGATTCATTTTATCTACGTAGGTGTGTGGAGCCTGGAAACATAGCCATGTGCTATATATACAACACGTTCTCAGACTAAAGACAAACAGCAAAGGGGACAGGCCAAGAGCTGCTGGTTTGTGATTTTCCTCCAAGCACATGGGAGTTTCTGCCAAAGGAAATGGATAATTTACTGAATTCAAGGTATTTTGCTTAATAACCAGAAATGACTAATACAACAAGATCATCATGATAAGAACCCTGATGCTACCAGCCACTAGAACACCTTTCAATGTGGAGATCAGACATGTTCTATTTAATTTATTTTCCCACCAACTACGTTTACTTTTAGCAAACAAGCAGTCTGCACAATTAAGACTTGAACCTCCCTCACCAATGAGGCCTGCAGTCTTAACAGAAACTGAAGTAGAAGGAAACAAAATCTACTTACTGATGATAAAAATATTTGCTTCATATAGTTATCCCCCCAAAGAATTTACAGAATATTGTTAGAAAATTTACACTCATATATCAAGTAAATAGATTTGAAATGGGGAATGATAATAAAAAGAAAACATTTTTCATCTTTTATATGTCAAAAGATATAATTTATGCGATATAATCTTTGCTCCTTGAAGAAATTATTTATCCCACTTTGAAGTATTCAGTTAAATACTACTACTTGAGAGCTGTGCAGGAATCTGCACACCAACTAGCCTGGCTCCAGGGCCCACTTGCTCATCTTCAAACTTGTGTGTAAGCACAGCTTTACACATGATAATCATGCTTATGAAAACATATATCCATTAATTCCCATGGGTGGAATCCTAACTCTAAGTATTTCGGGAGGCACTTCATATAAATGTTTTATTACCTCATTTGTGAAATGACTGGGGGAAAACGGTTTTATTACTAGTTCCAAGGTGACTTCGAACTTTTTAAATGTTGGGATTTTATGGTGTGACGACAGAGACAATCTGAGTTCAATCCCCAGAACACATTCCCCCCGCTCCCCTCTCTCTCTCTCTCTCTCTCTCTCTCTCTCTCTCTCTCTCTCTCTCTCTCTCTCACACACACACACACACACACACACACACACACACACACACACACACACTGTGCGCGCACGATAAATATTTTAAAATATAGATAATATGCTTGTTAGTTATATTGGTCTGTAGAAACACCAGCAGGGCATTTCCTTAGTTAGTGATTGATGAGGGAGGACACAGCCCATTGTGGTTGGAGACATTCCTGGGCTGGAAGTCCTGAGGTCTATAAAAAAAAAAAGTAGCAAGATGAACAAGCCATGTGGAGCAAGCTAATAAGCAGCATGCCTCCCAGGCCTCTGCATCACTTCCTGCCTCCTGGTTCAAGCACTGCTTAAGTTCCTGTCCTGACTTCCTTCAGGAATGGACCAGGATGTGGAAGTGTAAGCCAAATAAATCCTTCCCTCCCCAAGTTGCATTGGTCATGGTGCCTCATGTAACCCTAACCAAGACCAATAGTATGGCAGGAAAGAACCCTAATAGTATTTGCAGGTTACTGGCTATTCTACAGTTGGATGTTAGGGCTACACTAGTCATAAAGTGAGAAAAACTGATATAGAAACTTAGGTTGAAAAGCAAAAGGAAACATTAGAAAAACCTGAATGCTTTATTTCTGCCTTATACAATGCCTTAATTCTGAATATAGATAATTTCAAAAATCTTAAATTTCAACTTTCACAGAATTTATGTCAGGTATTTAGTGGCATATTCTTAAGCATTTAGATGCCCTAGAAAAATATTCATACTTTCAAACTTTTTTTTTAGCACCAATACAAAGACCTGTTTAAACCCTCAGTCTCAAATTGAAAGCAGAGGAACCCTAAAGCAATTATCAAACATCACTGAGGTGATGAAGAAGTCTAGGAAAGCGTCTGTAATTTCAAAATGATCCTTGGTTTGCCACTGCCAAGTCAAAAATAGAACAGATCCCTCAGCAGTGACCCAAGGTGAGCCAAGTATAGTAGCATCTGCCTGGTCCTCACTTTCACCCCTCACACTGCTGTTTGAGTGTAACTGAGTACCAGCTAGACACAGGCACCAGGAAGGGATAGATATACTACAGTAAAAAGAGACACAAAATCAACGCAGCTGAGTAGCTACATGCCTACTTTAAGACTACCTATATGGCCACCTACTACAAAATTATAATCAAGTTTCACTACCATTTCCCAAAATAGAAATTAAAACGGTAATAAAGGCACCCAAAAATATAACTTTCAAGTAAAATCATCCATTTTTAGAATACCTTAAAAGATCTATAAATCCCTAACACCAACAAATGACTCTGGTTTTATCTTGGAATGTGAAGGCTTAGATCTTGAATGGGAAAGACAGTTAACAAATTTTTAAGGGGGGGGGGGAGCATAGAAAGACAGACTAAAGTCAATAAAGCTAAAGCTTGAAGATACAATGTTTCCAACGCTGAGGGCTGAAACCAACAGAAAGATCCATGACATTTCTCCGTAAGCAATGTGGACAGGAAACTTAAACACCACCAAGGGCAGCCAACTGCCGCTGGCAGGGGAGCCACAGGTAAGGAAGAAGAGAAGACATCCAACAGCGAGTGCCAGGAGACTCCACAGAATGCAGAAAAGTTTGCAAACATGAGCTGGCAAGTGGTACCTATCATCATACTTCATATAATAAAGTCCTTCAAAAAGTAACCTCTCGGTTCATAGTTACTACCCTGGCACAATTGTCTGCAGAAACCTCTTGAACCTTCAGAGATCCTCAGATGATAAACAAATCCTTACCCTATTCCAAAGTAATATAAAGCAGTAGAGTGGTATGGGTTTTATAAAGCAAAAGGAATCCTTCTACTTGTGGACTTTGCGAGGTATGTCCACCCAGCCATTCACTCAGTGACGAATCGGGCCACTCAACAATGTTTCTTGAGTACACAGAAGCACGGGGGCAAGTTTTCAAAGTCTAACACCATGCCAGAGGAAATGCAAACCTCATCCGTGCAACAGCAAATCTGAACAACACGGGCAACCCCAAAGCTTTCTTTTTTCCACAAAACAAAGCTTGCTTCACGTGGAAATGTTCAGTTCTAAACAAATGCTTGACTCTTAAATCTATAAATTGCTATACTTCAGGCATCAACCCAGATCCACTAACTAAATAACAAGGAAAAAATGGCAACTTTTAACACTACATATACATATATATGTATATAAATCTGGAGGCACCATGAATTTTGATAAATTCCACTAATTATTAAAGATGGTACTGGGAAAAGATAGAATTTCTTAGGAGAAAAAAAAAAGAGTGGAGTGGAAAGAAAGTATGGACTTTAAGGAGGGACCCTGGAGCAGGGGAAATTCCATTTCAACTAGTGAAAATGCTTTGTAATCAAAATATTTTCTGCTCTCAAAGACTATTCTAAAATAAATAAATAAGGGACCAAAACATTCCTCAAGTAGAAAAACACTGCACAGAAATAAAATGGTTGAGCTCAGGTTACAGCAGGGAGTGGAAAAGAAAATGCTTAAATGAAGCCATGGGCTCTCACCATGGAGACCACTTCCAACCTTCTTATCTTTCTTCAGTTTGTAAAATTAAATCACTAAGGGTTTGAAAAGGCAGTTATTAAGTACAGTGTGACTTTTTAAAGACCTTCTTTGACCTTAACCAACAAACCATCAACCTTCTCAGCATGGTAGGGCAACCCATAATTGGTTCAGTAAGACATAAATGTGTTCCTCTTTCTAGAATCAGTTCTCTGTATAGCAACTCCCTTAAAGGGATCAGCATTCATTTTGTTTCCATCTCTGCTAGTTAAACTCAAACCCACACTACTACATCATATGCAGCTTCTCTCTAAATATGTCTGACAAGAGCCGAAACCACAAGTCTACACAAAGTCTTTACAAGAAGCCTCCCTCTTCTGGAAGCATAACCACAAAGGGACAGAAGTTTATGGTGGAGGTGATGCATTTCCCAAAGAAAAGCTGAAAACTAGGTACTCATTGAGAAAATAATCTAGGCCACAAGTCAGGAAACAAAAAAATTAAAAGGTGTTTGTAAACTATTGTTCTCATCACACCAAATCACTTTTTTAAGACTTAATGTTAAGGTACTCTTCAAAAAGAGGGACCACATAATGTAAGTTAATTGGCTGTAGGAATGTCAGTGAGTATCCCTAACACCCTAGGAGATTTAGTGCTAACTGTCCCACTTACAATTAAATAAATATACCCAAAACAGAATTTATGCACCAGTTCTTACCAAAGTTAAGGGGTCTCCGTGCTCATTCATGAATGCTTACATTTCATCCTGTCTGTTTTGTTTATAATCCAAGGTACCATTAAGAAAAAAAATCAGCGGCATGTCCACTCATCAAAATAACCTAAGCACACACTGTGACCCAAAGCTTCCTGGATAGTAACTGTGTTTTGAACTAATTTCGAAAATAAACTTTGTGAAGGAGTGGCTTCCAATTCCTAGCGTCTACCTCGTTGCACCCCGTAAAGTACTTCGCCACCTTAAATTACAGAGTGACTTTTTTGGGGTGGGGAGGAAAAACAACGTAAAACAAAGTTGAGAAACCTCCGAGATCTTCTGCGCCATCTGCTCTCCGGGCTAGGAGCGGTTAACAATGTACAATGTTGCTGTTTCCATTCTAACTCCTCTTCCAAGGATAAAAAGTTCAGCGCTCCAGGGTTCCCCGTGTCTCCCAACCTCGCACACGCGCGTACACACACACACACACACACACACACACACACACACACACACACACACACACACACACACACACACACACACACACACACACACTATCCCGGCTCTGCAGAGATCCGCAGCCCACCCGGAGCACAGCAGCGGCGTGGGCACGGAGCCCGGGAGTCTCCAGCGAGGCAGACACTTGCCAGGGTAGGAAGCACGCGGCCGTCGTCCCCTTCGCGAACCGGGCTCCTTTCTGGCCGAGATTTGCAGATTCCACCACTAGAGCGACTTTGGCAGCTTCACAATGGGCCGCTTCTCAAGGTCTGCCCGCTGCCCGCCCCCCAGACGCCCTTTCCTACGCTTCCCACCCGCCCTAAAGTCCACCCGCGACAGGTGGGGCGAGGGCGGCGGTGCCCGAGACATCTGCCGCGGTAGTTTCGGGCCAGCACCGAGCCGCAAGCCACAGTCCACAGACGCTCCTCGGCCACCACCGGGAGGGCCCGTCGGTCCCCCCCCCCCCCCCCAGCTACACCGGCCTCGGCCTCGGCCTCGCCCGCAGGGTGCAGCGCCAGCGCACAGGGCGGCCGAGATAAGGTCGTCGGGGCTCTCGCCAGGCGCTATCTGGTCCCCGCAGTCGTAGCCCGCACACCGTTGGGGACAGAGGCGCGGCAGGCCGGGCAAGAGCTCCTTCTCAATGGGCCTCCTTGGGCTTGTCGCCTCGCGCTGCGGGGCACGACGAGCCGCCGAGCCGGGGCGCGCCAACGCACCCAGACTTCCGCACCTCGGCACCCGCGGGTGCGCCGCTCCGGGTCGCAGAGTCCCCGCACCACCGCACGTCGGCGGCGAGCGCACGCCTGCACGGCCGCTCGCCCGCCCGCCCGCTGGCTCGCCCGCCCGCCCGCCGCGCGCACTCGGGGACGCACGCCCCCGCACACTCACACGCGCTGCACACTCCCGGCGTTGCCGGCCCCACCCCTGAGCCAGGAAACTGCGGGCTCTCGCACCCCGCGCGGGCCCCACCCCATGTCTCCAGACCCCAGCCATCCATCCGCACTGGGGCTCAGGGACCGGGCCCCCTCGAAGCCGGCTGCCACCGAGGCTGCAATGCCAGCAGCCACCGAGGAGGCCGGCACCGGGCCGGGGCGTCCCAGCGCTGCACACACACACACACACACACACACACACACACACACACACACACACACACACACACACACACACCACACACACCGCTCGCCCAGCCCGGACACGAGGCGAGGAGGAAGGGGCGGCGCCGTGCCTGGGACTGGCACAGTGGCTCGCTTGCCTGGGGCACCCACCCTCACGCGCGTACCCCACCCATCACCGCCGCCACCTCTGCAGCACAAAAGGTTGCAGAAGGAGTGGCGGTCCCCGTGCAACGTACCAGCAGTCCAGGGTTCCGCCGGCTCCTCTATGCCGGCGGCCGCAGACCCGGAGCCAAGGGCGGGAGCGACGCGGGGCTGCGGCGCCGAGGTGCGGGCAGAGGCCGCCAGCCAAGCCAGCCGGGTACCCGCTGCTCTCCCACCGCGCTCGGCGCCAGCTACGGCCCGGCGTAGTCCCGCCTCCTCCCCCGCCTCCGCCCGCCTTCCCGCCTCCTCCCTCCCTCCCTCCGGCTGCGGAGGCGAGGCCGGGAAAGCGCAGAGCCCGCCTCCTGCGCCAGGCTCGCACGCTCGCTCGGGAAGGGCGGGCGGGCAGGCGGGCAGGCGGGCGGGAGAAGGCGCTGGGCGGCCGGCAGGAGAGCGCAGAAGGGGAGGCGGTGGCGCGGACGCGAGGCGGCGTGATGCCACCTCTTCCCCAGACGAAAACCCCGCGCTCCCGCCGGCCGCCCAGGAGCCGCAGCTCCGCGCAGGCCTGGGAATGCGGACGGTTCCCATAGAGCGGTGTGCTAAAGCTGCGAGGGCATGGCTGTCATTTGTGAGTTTCTGCTGAGCAGAAGTTGAGAGCAGAAGCCCATGAAGTTATAAATTATACTATAATTCTAAAAAAAAAAAAAAAAAAAAAAAAAAAAAAAAAAATTAAGGTGAAAAACCCTAAATATGGGGGCAGGGTGAAGGCCAAATTCAGATTCTGAGTCATGTGTTTCTCTTCCCTTTTCCTTTCTTCCTTCCTCCCTTCCTTCCCTTTTCTTTCTTGACAGGGTCTCTGTAGCTTAGACTGTGGGTTCAAGCTCCTGAGAACCTTGCTTAGTCTCCAGAGCTCTGAGTTTGCAGGAGTGACAAGCCATTCCCAACAAGATTATCTCTTCTCTATTCATGTGCCTCTCTCCTGTCAGAGTGGTTAAATGCAGCACACAAATATTTGCTGATATGTATTTAGCTCTAGGTGCCAACCCTTTTGACATACATTTCCAAGATTACATCTCTTAGCAGTTCTTCTAATCAGCATTTTGAAGATACAGAAAACGTAAGGAACTTTCTTAAAGTCACAGACTTAGTACAGGGCTGAGCTGTTTATGCGTTTCTAAATGTAAATTAAGGTTCCAGTCTTGTGTGGTCTTTGAAAGGGTGCTTTATCTGAACATAAGGAATCATAAATTTCGTCTAGACTAATGCAAACTTAAGCAAGTCATTTTTATCCCAGAGTCTATATATATCCCCAACAATATTAATAAATATAAACACTCTGGGTCCAAGAGATGGCCTCTGGTTTCTCTGTAACTGAAGGATACTTACTGGATTGCCTCTCATGTGCTCTGATGTAAGTGTCAGAAAACAGAAGGAAAAGACCAGGTCTGTGAATGTTCTGAATATAATAGTTACTTTCCCCCAAAGTGGCACGCATGTAACTTCTCAGAATATAGACCCTAGTGCATCGTACAGGTATTGAATGCACAAGCGATCAGAGTTTTTTAACATTTTTTTCATTTGTTGGGTTTTTTGTTTTCTTCTCCTGGGTATCTTAGGAGGCGGCACTAGAAGTCATTTCAGATTTCAATCTGTCACAGTAGTGTTATTGTTACGATGCTCATTCTTATAAAACAACCTCAAAACATTATGTTTTGTTTTAAGAAGCTTAATCTCATTTTGTCCTGTCTGAACTCATAATCTTTTCAGGAGAACACCTTGTAACTTGGCCTTTGTTCTGAAAATTTAGCAATGTTCTTTGGCCAGGAGCAATAAAACCCAGACTGGCCTCTCAGTTCACTGGGCTCAAGGCTAGCTCCATGAGAGAGCATTATCGCTAACTGTGTCCCTTGCTAGGTGGTGCCTGGTGTCCAGTCTCTGAGATTCCGTACAACAACCAAAAGTTAGGTTGCTTCTCGAGTGTCACAAAGAACACCTATTCACAAGGCAGCCGTGGCTGACAATAGCTTTATATGAGGTTTATGAGGGTTATGTGGCCTATTCACTAGGCAGGCTTACTGACAACAGCTTTATGTGCGGTTCATGAGGGTTATGCCTAAATTAGATTACGTGGGGCCTTTGAGGACTGCTGTGGGCCTATGAAAGATGAAAACAATGTGGAGGCACTTTGCAAAGCTTACTGTGTGTTTCATGAAGAGCAGTTCGGTTCAATCCATGTAGAAAAAAGAGAGAGAAAGAAAAAAAAAAGACCTTCTTTAAAAGTACTAGTCCCCAATTGTCGAATTGAACTTGTATTCTGAAAGGACTTTCAGAAACTGGGGCTCAGGTGCTCCATCCCAGATGCCACCTTTGTGGTTATATCTTGGCCTAAAGATGTCCCTCCTTTCCCCCAAAATCCACTTCTCAAATGTCACTTGTCTCGGAAGAATTATCCATTTGGTGGATTGCCGCTTAGCAAACAACCATCTCGAAAGAACAGGGTAAGTGAATTTGATAAAAAAGCACAGCGATCTAAAACTGAAACTACAATGTAGCTATGCAAGGAATACATCACCTTGTTAATAACTATCGCAGTGGACTGTGGTCAGAAAGTGCAGCCCATGTCCACCAACACAGTGAGTGAATGCAGTGAACGTCTCTGAGGCTAAGCAGCGGTCTCCCAAAGGGAAGGGACTGAGAGACTAGTAACCACAGCCCCTACCTGGAAAATACAATCAGGGGCTGCTGTGGGGTCACGTGGCATAAGCAGCCTCCACAGGAGTAAAAGGTAACTGCCAAGGAGGCATCTATGGCAAGGAGCGATGTGGTGATATTGTGTTCCCCAATATATTGTGCACCCTAACAAACTTATCTGGGGTCAAAGAACAGAACAGCCACTAGACATAGAGGCCAGAAAATGGTAGCACACACACACACACACACACACACACACACACCTTTAATCCTAGCATTCCGAAGGCAGAGATCCGTCTGGATCTCTGTGAGTTCAAAGCCACACTGGAAACAGCCAGGCATGGTGACACAGGCCTTTAACGCCAGGAAGTGATGGCAGGAAGCAGAAAGGGATCTAAGGTGTGAGGACCAGAAACTAGAACTTGGTTAAGCTTTTAGGCTTTTATCAGCAATTCAGCTGAGATTCATTCCAGATGAGGACTCAGAGGCTTCCAGTCTGAGGAAACAGGATCGACTGAGAAGTCGGCAAGGTGAGGTTAGCTGTGGCCTGTTCTGTCTCTCTGATCTTTCAGCGTTCACCCCAATACCTGGCTCTGGGTTTGTTTTTATTAGTAAGACCTTTTAAGATTCGTGCTACAGAGAGAGGAGCCTCTTCTCCTCCTGCCCTGATACCCACAGGTGTCCTTTAGGCTATCGAATCCATCTATCACACGTTCCCCTTGTTCTTTCCAGAACTGCCACCTAGAGCCATATTTTGCAGTGTGCATGGCCATAGATGGCATGGCCCTGACTTAAATATATGAGCCCTCTTTTCAGGTCTTTCCACTCTTTGTTTTTTGTTTGTTTATTTGTTTGTTTTTTGAGACAGGGTCTCTCTATTTAGTCCCAGCTGTCCTGGAACGCATTGTGTAGACCAGGCTGCCCTCTGGAACTCATAGAGATCCTCCTGTCTCTGCCTCTCAAGGGTTTAGACTAAAGGTGTGTGCCACCACGCCTGGCTCTTTTCCTCTCTTCACTACTTAAAG